GCTGTGCTGCCAAATACACACCGACATCAGCTATTGTAACCATTTCGGCCTTGTTGTAATCATAAAACCTGATTGTAAGCTGCCTACATTTGAATCCATAATGGTTACTCTGTCTGCATCTGAAATGCAGAAGTCGAGTTCATGTAGGGAGTCAGGACAAAAGAGGTTTACTAGACCCTGTGAAGGAGTCATGCATAAATTCATCTGCACAGACATCGGCTGTAATTTTGACATCAAATTGCAGACAGAATTGCACAAGTATGCCTCAGTTCTTTCCGGCTTTCAGGTGAGATAAATACAAGCAATTATCTAATGATCTTTCAAATAGCTTCCTTAGACCACAAGTGGAAGCCAGTTGATCAATGTGGCCTATGCGCTCTTTGAGACTGCATAATAAAGAAACAAAGCACAGCATCTCCCCTTACCTGACTTGGGTATTGATCTGTAGGGAAGTGCACGGCTTGTAGAGTATGAGCTGAAATTACTCAGAAGCTGCAACAACACTTTACAAACGAGCAAATGAGTGGCACATCAGACATCTCCCCAGGCAGAACTAGTCCAACAGTTGTTGAGGCAGAAAGACTGCACTGGCAGAATATGATCAGTGTTCATCTCCAAATAAAAGTACCTTGTTTTCAGTGAAAAATAAATAGTCCACCACGAGAGTGACAGGCGGATATATTTTTAAATCGGGCTGTCACAGTTACTAGACCTGCGTTTTGAATGTGCACACTCATGTGGGCAGGCAATGAGTCACTGATGAATGACAGCAGAAATAGCAGATCTTTGAGTCTTGCCTTGAAGTGCACACACAGATGAGGCAGTAGCTGTTGGTTAGCAGTCTGTGGCGATAAGGACTTCTCCTTAGTCGCCTCCTTTCCGGCAGAGATGGTGCCCAGTGGGGAAAAGTGTATGTCAAATATCCCGAGTGAGTAAATAATATATGAAAGGACTTCATAATGTGACGTAATGTCATTTTTTTCTGCTGCAGGTAGTCTGGGATGCTATTATTTCATACCTTCCCAAAACAAGGGTCCACCAGTTCACTCACTAACTTTAAGTTTGCCAGGTGTATGGAGTTCTTTAAGAGACAAGCTTTAGCTGTTACAGTAAGTTAGCTAATGCAAGCTAATACATTTGATTAGGCAATATTTTGCTCATTTTGGGCAACTTGTAAAAAATCAATTTAAATGGCGTCAGACTTAAATTGTGACTTTATACTGTTTTACTTGTTGTCCACTAATGCCCACTAATTTAGGTAACTTTAAACATCCATTGCTACATATGAGTAAATATGATTTGATGCATGTCACAGTGCCCATCTCCCTCCTCTCGCCTCTCTTTTGCACACACGCAGCTTCACTGTTTTGTCAGAGCCACCGCACAATTAGCGACTGCAACTGGTTGGACGACATTAATCGAGTGCAACAGTAAAACTGTACTAAATCATAATGCTAGTTAACCTTTCTGCTGCACAGCAACCTGTCACTAGCTGGATCTGCAGCCCAGACAGTCTATGCTACACTGGAGCTAAAACAGACCGTTGACTAATTCCCTGAGGTGTACAGCAGCTGCGTGAAAGTGGGACAGATGGCATCTTGTAAAGCCAGAGTGGCTTTTTAGTAATCTTGAAGTTCTAGAGAATGAAAATATGGTTGTATTTTTATATGACTGGCATATAACCCAGTCACCTTAGCATGTGTGTGTTAACCTGCAACAAAACAAGGCTACGCCCATATTGTTTCTGAATATTTCTGTTTAGCTGAATAGGAAATAATTTGCTAGGAACACTCGTCTTCTTTCATAGATTCTCTGAAGACCTGTAGATAGCTGATACTGCAGCTGACACAACCGTCGGATGAATGGAGATCCAGTTTAAACGTTACTCTACTAAGATGCAACCTGGAAATGCTGCTGTGCTCTGTATTTGCAAGTTGTAGACAAACAGGATGAACACGGATGAAGCTGTGTGCAAATACTGCATCTCATCTTTCCTTTCCTAGAAAGAGAAGTGTCTGTATGAAAATCACACCATCTGGATTTCCAAATACCACGTTGGTATTTTGGTTGTGGCAGAAGTCACACAAATTAATATCTGAAAATACTTAAACAACTAAAACAAAACTGTCTGCATGCCAGAAGACCAGTAAATCTCAACAACCAAGTACTTTGTCAGGTTTTTCACACATTACAGGCTGCGATTTTCAGACAGATTAAAGGCTGAGATTATGATTTTTTTTTAATTATCACTATTATTTCTAGTCAGTTAAATGAAAAGTGCATATTTCTCCCTTTTTATTTTTATTGTATTGTTTTAATCTGAGTTCAGCAAGCTGCCAAGCCTGTAAACTCACATTGTGAAAAATGTAACTCATCTTTGAAAATTTGCTCGAGACTCATCGTCTTCATTTAACCACCAGTATGGTTAATTTATATAATAATCATGAGGTCTTCCGTTAAATATTTGCAGTTTTATTTATTCAGATGTTTCTAGTCTTGATGCAAAGGCAGTTCTTTATGTAGCACTAACCATCCAGAGAAGGTGGCATGCGCTACGTGATGATCTCCTATTTACATAAAGGCAGCTGAAATATGTTTAAAGAATGTAGAGGGTCAGTTTCATCTTAACAAGTTGAAAGGGTCAACCTTTCAAGAAAAGTTTTGCTTTCAAGCACATCGAGTGGTTCAGAGATGTATGAGCAAGGCTATAGAAGAGTTCAAAGCTGAAGTTCAAAGTGTTACACAAAGCTACAAAGATAAAACTAAAGCAGAATTTCATAGCAAAAAGCTGCACTGAGCTTGGTATGCGAAGCCTGATAGCAAATATACATCAAATCTAATTAATAACTTATACATGCACACGCAAATATATGCTTTAAACTGATTCAAATGCCTTGACTTGCATCAGTGTTTCCTTAAAAGGATTGCTCCTTTGTGGGGATGAGCGGTCTGGGGCAGTCATCACGTGCACTATAAAGCAGATTTTTTTTGCCTTCTCAGTGACTGTGTCCAAGAGAAGCACCGCTACGGTGTCGTACCACTTTTCACAGTAAAGACATTATCAGCCAGACACCGAGCCCAAAACGTTTTTGATTCATCAGACCAGAGAATCATTTCTGTTGTGTTCAGAGTCCTTTAAATTCATTCGGAAACTCCACACAGTCTGTCATGTGGCTTTAGCGCAGAGTGGCTTCCGTCTAGCTGCTTCACCACAAAAACCCGAGTGATGGAGTGCTGCTGAGACGGTTATCCTTCCAGCAAGGTCTCTCATCTCTGTAGAGGACTTATGAAGCTCTGTTAGAGTGACTGTTGGGTCCCTGGTCACCTCTGAACAAGGACCTAATTTTCAGAGTTTGGCCAGATGGCCATCTCTGTAGAGTCCTGGTGGTTTTTCCATTTCACAATTATTGAGACCACAGTGTTCTTGAGAACACTCTGAGCTATAGAGATGGTCTCATACTATTGCACTGATCTGTGTTTTGCCTCAATTTGTCACGGACGTGTAAATAGAGTTCTTTGGACTTCATAGCTTAGGTGTTGGCCCTAACATGCAGGTCAGACTGCGGGAGCTAATACAGATGTGCAGTAGAGATAGACTCTAGGAGAGTTTTCAACATCTCAGGGATTAATCATGCAAATGGGATGTGTCTAGGCCAGATTCTGAAGTGCCACAGCAAAGACACGGTATTTGTAAAAGAGAGACCCTTTTTTGAGTTTTTGCCTTAATCACATCCCTGTGTGATATTAATTGATATGTCAGATGAGGCGTTTGTCTTTGACCTCATGGTTAGATATGCACACTTGCTTACAAGGGATGCACTCTTAAATGTTTTAAAGCTTTAAGCAGAACTGTGAAAGCATTTCTGTCTAAGGTGATATTTATCCTTCACCTCTGCAAGAATCTCTTTGCCATTTCCCTTGAGCGACAGACGTGCAGACCTTTGAAATTTGATTAGTGTTCAGTCACGAGTGTCCTCTGGAGTGTTGAAGAATTTGTGAGTACTGTGCTGACAGCTACTTATGCCTGCTCAGTCTTGGTTTATTGTAGGAATAATCATAACATTACTTTCTATACGTAAGTTGCTATATGATTCTTTTTTTTAATGCGAGTTGCATCTAAAAGTGAATTTCTGAGTTATTTCTCCTCCCCTGTATGCTGCTGCTCAGGAATCTGCTGGCTTACATATTTGCATCTGCTCAGGGACTGATTAACACCTGGGGCTCAAGGAGGAAGCAATTAACTATCTGGTATGACATGGAATGTGCAAAGCTGCATTCAGAAAATAGATTTCTCTCATTAAACAAGTGGCCTTTAACACACCTCTGTTACATGTTGTTGATTCATTGTGTTTGAGAGTGGCTCCAGATATGTTCCACTGTTATTACTGCTGACTTAAAACTGAGAACCACTTACACAGTCAGGCCCTTTATAGATGTAGCTGTAAACATGTGATGAAGCTCTTTTTGGTGACAGTAGGCAACACATGATGATGTAATGCCAGGCAGGAGGAATGAGCCATTTTTGCTTATTGTACAGTCGAATACAGACAAAATGTTTTGAATGCTTAACCTGAAAAAATGGAAAATGCACTTTTTCCTTAACTTCACATTCTTCCAATTGTTGCTCTAATTTTGTCTCCATTCTTTAAACAACAATGTAGCAAACCTGCGATTTTTAGTGTTTTTAGGGCTCAGCATTTTCATAACTAAATTGCAAATACAATAAAAGATCTATGATATGTAGAGAAGGTGGTGCATTTGGTTGATAATACAGACCGTGTGTAACACAGTTACAATTCATATGAGTCAATATTTTTTACGAGCTTCCTTATGAGCTGTTTTGTTCTACGTGGCGGATTGAACTGCTGGTCCTGTATGGATTAGATGAAATAGATTTGAAAATTGACAATGCAGCTGTTGAATGTATCTCATTTTCACCATGTGTGTAGTTGAGGTGCTTATTGTGCTCTTGTTTTTGTGTGTTTTTTTTTTTTTATCAGATATCGGACGTTTGTCTCAGAGGACGCAGGCCCCAACACATTGGTTGCTACGGTGCTGGCAAAGGACCCCGATGGTGATGGCATCACGTATAAGATCACCACAGGAAATGAGGAGGGCAACTTTGTCATTGACAACCAAAAAGGTTTGATAACTGGACTGTTTGTAGTTTTCATTTGATCATTAATGTTGAATATTCTTTTAGCAACTGCTTGTTTCCAACTCCATATTTGTATTTTTGAACACTGCTACATGATTCGTCCTTCAAAAGCAATCAATATTTGTCCTACACTGGGCCGTCTTGCAGCCCCTCAGTTCATCTTCTGTCTGAGCAAAATGGTTTATTCACCTTGCCCCTCCCCTTTCTTCTGATAGGCTGCAGCTAGAAAAGAGCAGGTTGGAACTGGAAGTGGGTGGGGCTTCTGTGCTGACCGACAGAGCTGTCTAAGGATATCTGCCTTGCAGTTTAACAGTTTTTACCTCACAGAGATGCCTTACTCTTGGAAATGTTCAAACTATCTATGTTTAAAAGCAGACACATAACAGAAAATAAGGAAAAGCAGGATTTTTTTTCCTCTACATGTAGATTTTTTACAGAGAAGAATTAAGACTCTATGTGCAAACACCCCGCCCTTCAAATATGTGTTTCATATGAGTTTTCTGTCCCTCCTCTGTGGCACTGCATTGCCTGTCTTCTTTTGTTTTTTAAAGCTCAAGGAGACTACATGTTTGAGATACATTTACCTGCTCCATGGTGGTGCATGATGAATTATTTTTATCTTGCTGCTTAAGATTTTAGGGGAAGAATCCTAGAACCTCAGGCTGCTTGGGGCTCTGTTATTATTTTGCTCTTCACCCATTTAGCACAAACCCTGAAAGATCCACAAAGTGTTCTCTTTCCACAGTTATTTTCACCTTGCTTTGCAGTGTTTCTTCCCTGCTCTATTTACATACACCATATAAATATAAAAGCTCCGTATTTTGTCAAGTGTGGCCCCAGGGGGTCTTGAAAATATGCTTTATAGTGTGTGTTTTGGTTTAATGTCCTTCACCACAGCTACTGTTCAGTGGATGAGGATGCTTCACTGGCGCTCCTCTTACTGCTAGCAGCTTTGTAAAAGATATTGAAATTCTGACAGGTCGTGTCATAAAGACATTAGAATTACCAGCCAAAGTGTGAAGACCATTTTCACAGTCCCTCAGTAACAAAATACCATCTGAGGTTTATAGTCACACATCTCAAACTTCCTCCGAGGCAGGTGCAGTAATGCCAGGAGCAATATGAAACGAGAAGCTGTGTTAATGACACAGTGTGTGTTTTGTGTGTGTCCGGGAGCCGTAATAGTGGCAATTTCATTGCGGTTCGACCCTTTTTGTAAATTGAAACCCCCCTTTGAATCTGCATTTCACATCACAGGGTAATACCATGACTTTTACAAATTCAATTACTCAACTTCAAGGCGCAATTTCCTCTGTTCACCTGCAATGACATTCACTGTCAGCTGATAGCAGCGGCCATTTTATCAAGCGAAGAAAAGATTTGTAGCAATAACTCGATTTCGTCACCTATCAGAAGATGACTCTTTGCCATTTAGATTGTTGGCTCTGCTCGGGTTTTGTCACACTGACCTAATTTTTGCACGTCATCAAAAGTTCACTTTTTAATTCAAGTTTCTTTCAGGCTTTCTCAAACTGACAGCGTGCGAGGTTTGCTATATGGGAAAAGTTAATGTTGACACCTCGCAAAAACTAATTGAGCCAAATTCATGACACTTGGTGAAGACGTGCTAGACGTGCATGGACAGTGGAAGACTCTAGACCGGGATCACGTTCCTTAAAAATGACAAAAAGGGGTGTTAGCTGAATTTCATCCCCAAGTGCCCTTCAAGCTAACCTGTTTTCGTGCAAAATAGATGCCAATATCTCATATACACATTATTTATAGTTGGCATATACTGATCAATTTAGCCGTTATCAGTTTCTTCGTTTTCATCTCTTCTCTTAAGGTCATTCTGATCAGAGGCTGCTCACTGACCTACTCAGCACAGCACACATTTATACTTGTCACTGTAAACCAGCACAAGCAGTTTCAGGACCTTCAGCTGAAGAGATGAAGCGATAGCTGTCA